ATACTAGGCCATTTATGCATGCAGGATCATGCCCAGATGCCCCCCATTCCATGGTTAGTAATATATGATGATCCCAGCCAGAGCCAGGCCGGGTGGAACTTTTTGCAGGACGCACGGACCCAGTGGCTGGTGGATGGGACCCACTGGATGATCGACCGACTGCGGGCCGAGCCGGCCATACAGCGGCATTTCATGCGAGGGGGCCGATTCCACCCCGCAGCCATCCAGCAGTATTGGCAGCGCGTGGCCTAGTTCAAGGAGAAGTTAGCCATCATAGTGCATGTCACCGCGGGGCAGCCGGCGCGGGCCCCAGAGTTATTAAGTATTCAGCACTGCAACACCGCGAATAGTAGGCGGCGTAATATATATATTGAGGATGGGATGGTGACATTCGTGACGGCATATCACAAGGGGTTCCACGCCAGCAATGATGTCAAGATTATCCATCGATATGTGCCGCGGGAGGTCGGGGAGTTGGTGGTGTGGTATATGTGGTTGGTGTTGCCGTTTGTAGAGCAGTTAGCTGCATGGGAGGCAGCGCAGGCAGCGCAGGCAGCGGCATCACAGACGAACCAGACGAACCAGAGCAACCAGAGCAACCAGAGCAACCAGAGCAACCAGACATCCCAGAGTAGGACCGTCGCCCACACGGCATGGTTATGGGGCCCCGATCCAGGCACTGGCCGTGAATGGTCATCCGAGCGGTTCCGGGAGGCATTGAAACGGGAAACACGCACCTGATTAGGGACTGCCATCCACATTGCAGCATATCAGGACATCGCCATTGGCATCAGCCGCTGGTTTTTACGTCCGTCCACTGCATTTCTAAATAATGTGTAAGAGGCCGACCACACACCAGCAGCCATGGATGCAGATGCTGAGGAGTTTATGGATGATGAGCAGTGGATTAGCCACATTGCTGACTTACAGGCCGCCCATTCATTACATGTCGCAGGGATGGTGTATGGTCGAAGTATCCATGAACAAGCTGGCAGCACCAACCACCAGCGCGAGATGTTCCGGTTATTCAGCACTAACTGGCATCAGTTTTTGGGGTTTGCATCCGCAGCCACCGCACCATTAATATTAGGCAAGCGCAAACAAGCGCCATGGGAGGATGAAGCTGAGGTCAGTCGCATCGAGCGCCGCCACCAGCTGGCCACCATGGATATGGAAGCAGCTGCGCAGCGAATGACCGGGCAGCCCACCATGTGGTTCTGGGGGGTGCAGGACCCGGCCATTCAGGCCATCCAGTGAGGGGAGAGCCCTGTAGTGGCGGTAATGCCCACAGGCGGTGGCAAGAGCATGTTGTTCATGGTGCCAGCATTCACCGCCCCCAGAGGCACCACCATTATCGTGGTCCCACTGGTTGCATTACGGGCCGATATGCAGCGCCGGTGCCAGCAGCTGGGGATTTCATGTGTTGCATAGGAGAGCCGGCGGCCCCTGGATGCCGCGTCGATCATGTTGGTGACGCCCGAATCCGCGGTCAACCCTGATTTCCAGACGTTTTTGAACTGGTTGCGGTGGATGCGGCGGTTGGACCGCATCGTGATCAATGAATGCCATGTGGTGTTGAATTCCCAGCGTGATTTCCAACCCCAGATGGCCTAGTTAGGGAAATTAGTGCAGGCACGTACCCAGATGGTATGGTTGACTGCCACGTTGCCCCCGAGCATGGAGGATGAGTTATGCCGGTGGATGAAGCATGATCGGACCGCCATGACCATTTACCAGGCCTGGACGAGCCGTCTGAACATGGCATACCGGGTATGGCGCCCCGTGTTGACGGGGGTCGGCTGGGGTCCGTACCAGTGGATTGAGAGTGAGGCCGTGGTGGCATTCATTCAGGACCGTATTCAACGGGCGGCCGGTGGCAAGGTGATCATATATGTGAATATCATTGGGCAGGTGACAGCCATGACGCGGGTATTGGGGTGCGAGGCGTATTATAGCGACCAGCTGGACAAGGCTGGGGTGTTAGACTGATTCATGGGAGGTAGTCCAGTCATCGCAGCCATGAGCGCATTAGGGATGGGGGTTGACATCCCTAATATCCGTAGCATCATCCACATTGGCACACCGCGGACATTGTTAGATTATGCACAAGAAAGTGGTCGAGCAGGACGGGATGGCCAGCGGAGCGAGGCGATCATTATTCAGCCGGCTGGGTGGGACGCGCCAGCGCCGTGGATGGAGGGGGTATCGCCAGAGGATCAGGAACGAGTCGCAG